CTAGGTGGCCGCGGCTGCACTCCTTCGGTTGCGCACGTTCCTGGTGGGCCACTGTCGCGGGAGGAGAAGATGTGCATGCGCGCTATGCCCATCGTTTTCGCCGCTTTGAAAAACAGGAACCGCCCGCACCTCCTCTGGGCCTTTTCTGGTTGCCCCGTCAGTCCCTAGAGGCCTCGGGCCCCGCCTCGCACGGCGCCTCCTTCTAGGATGCCTCCAGAGGACCTGGAGTGGTGCTCAAGCGAGAACCTCATTTTGAAAAAGGAGCCGCCCTCAACCTTCCCCTCTGGGCCTTCTCTGGTTGCCCCCATCAGGCCCCAGAGGCCTGGGTCCCCGCCTCACACGGCGCCTCCCTCTGGGATGCCTCGAGAGGACCTGAAGTGAAGCTCGAGCGAGAACCCCGTTTTGAAAAAGGAGCCGCCCGCACCTCCTCTTCTGGGCCTTCTCTGGTTGCCCCCTCGGCCCCAGAAGGCCTCGGGCCCCGCCTCGCTCGGCGCCTGCCTCTGGGATGCGTCCGGAGGGTTACTGTTGCAGGCAAAGCACAAACAGGCATAACAATATTCAGACCGACACTGCGCCGGAGCAGTCGGGCAGGCGGCAACAACATTTCAATTCGAGCAGAAGAAACGAACAAACGAGCAGGCGAGCAGAGCAAGCGAGCAGGCGAGCAGAACAAACTAGCAGGCGATTAGAGCAAACGAGCAGGCGACTGACGGCGGCAACGACATTGCCCCGAGCCGCGGGCCCCTTCTCATTCACGACTCTCAGCAGTGATGGTGATGGTGGGTTTCTTGGGTTCGTTCCTGGGTGGGGAGCTGTTGTGCTCGTGGCTGGTTGTGGGTCGGCGGTCCTCCTACTCCTCCTCCTCCTCATCCTCCTCTCCTCCTCCTCCTCCTCCTCCTCCTCTTCCCCCTCCTCCTTTTTTTTCCCCCTCCTCGTCCTCGCCGTCCCTCTCGTATTCCAGCTTTTCCTCCCCGTCCCGTTCCTCCCCCGGTTCTCCGGCTGTTCCTCCTTCAGCCCCTCCACCTCCAGTTCGTCTTGCTCCTTGTCCTCATGTTGTTCCCCCTCCTCCTCCTCCTCCTCCTCCTCCTCGTCGTCCTCGATCCTTTTTCCTCTTCCCCCCCTTTTGTTCCCTCTCCTCCTCCTCCCCCTCCTCCTCCTCGGTCCTCTTTCCTCTCCCTCCTCTCTTCCACTTCCTCCTCCTCCCGCCCTTTTTCCTTCTCATGTTTTTCCGTCCCCATCTCCTCTTCCTCCTCCTCATCATCATCCTCCTCTTCCTCGCGATGGGTCCATCGTGCACAACACTTTTCGGTGATTCAGAAGCGCAGGTTCTCCAACATTGAGAAGAGCAAAGCCATTGCCACGCACACTATAGTACAACGACGTTTCTGACGAACTCGTTCCCCGGTAGGATACATGTTGTTTCGGCGGCAACGCAAGTGGCTACGTGTAAGTGTTGAACTCGTGTTGATGGTCGCTACGACATCTTAGCACAACGCTTTGAGTTATGAGCTCCGCCGGGGAACGAGTTGTTTCAAATTGGTGTTATTTCCGCTGGGGAACGAGTCGAACAACTGGGGAACGAGTCGTTCAACCGGGGAACGCGTCACTCGCCACTCAAGCGGGGGGGGTGAATCGGCCCCCCCCCGCCCCTCCCTGAATTACAAGGGGGGGATCGAACCAGGGGGGGCCACGACGGCAAGCCGTCGGGCAGCGACGACGACGACGACGACGACGACGACGACGACGACGACGGCGATCGCTCGCTCTCTCGCTCGCACGCTTGCTCGAGCGGGTTGGCGAGCGAGCGAGCAAGCGAGCACCATGCATTTGATGTCACGCCCGCCCGATCCGACCCGCCCGACTCGCTCGCTCGAGCGAGCGAGCGAGCAAGCGAGCAAACGCGCACCATACATGTTATGTCCCGCCCGCCCGATCCGACCCGCCCGACTCTCTTGCTCGCTTGCTCGAGCGAACGAGCGAGAGGACCGACTCCCTGCTGCCCAGCGAGCGAGCGAGCGAGCGAGCAAGCGAGCACCATGCATTTAATGACCGACCCGCCCGATCCAAGCCGCCCGATCCGCTCGCCCGCACGATCGCTCGAGCGAGCGAGCGAGCACTATGTTTTAAATGTCCCACCAGCCGGGTCCGACCCGCCCGACTCGTTCTTTTGCTCGCCTGCTCAAGCTAGCGAACGAGCCTGCGAGCACCATGCCTTGAGTATCCCGCCTGCCCGACCCGACCCGACCGACCCTGTCGCTCGCTTAGTCGAGCGAGTGAGCGAGAGGACCGTCTCCCCCCTTCCCTCGTTCGCTCGCTCGCATGTTTGCTCCAGCTAGCGAGCGAGCGAGCAAGCGAACACCATGCATTGAATGTCACGCCCGCCCGATCCGACCTGCCCGACTCGCTCGCTCGCTCGAGCGAGCGAGCGAGCGAGCAAGCGAACACCATGCTTTTAATGCTCGCCCAAACTGTCCCGCCCAACGGAGGGGGGATTATATCAGAAGGGCACACCAAGGGGGAGCCCCTGGGGGGAGCAGTCAGTCGCCACAGGCAAAATCGCTTTCACTCAGACACTCATGGTGGAACGTGCCAAGAAAGGATATGCGCATATGGGGATTAGGTCGGCCCGGCACTCGCCATACACTCCTCGGCTGATTTGCGCGGGGCCGATTTGCAACGGAGGCTAGTTTCCAGAGGGTCGTGCGGGTAATATGGACCATTTGGATCATGTGGCCCTTGCGGTTTGCGCAATTCGTGATGCCCATCTGGCACATACCGTTCCCGCGCGCCGAACAGATCGTAGTCCGCGCGCAGGTGTCGCCACTGTCGCTACACCCCGTGCACTCGGCAGAAGCGCGACCTGCACGAGGTCAACGATTCCTTGCGTTTGTGCCGGAATTGTTTCGGCTTCTGGCTAGAGGCTTAAGTCGGGCCTGTCCTTCTACAGGAGGGATATTCGAAAATAGTCTGGCATGTTTTGGCTCTCTTTTTTTCCGCCCAACATCCCCCGGTAGGGGGACAGGCCCGACTGAAGGCTAAGCGGCGCCACGTCGTACATTCCCCTCCAAACATGGTTTTGCACAGGTTTCCGACTATGGTGCAGAAGTCTGGCTGGTCAGGGGCCTGACGGCCCATCCCCGCCCAGGAAGCGCGCGCTTTTGCTACGCATTGTGCACTCCTAAGTATTCCAAAGCTCTTTGACGTTGGGGGGCCGAGATCCTTTCATTTCTGATTCTCCTGTCCTGGGCCTCTTCCTGGCCACTGGGCCAGGAAGAGTTAGAAACGAGCACCACTAGAAATGAGCACGATTTGAAGTGGGCGACGTGCACGAGAAGCGTATCGCCGATCTGCCGGCGATGTTACACCTCGTGGGCTCCAGGTCGACGTTCTTCCCTTGAGCCGGGCTCCTGGCTTCCGGGTCACAGCTCGGGCCTCCGGCCGCCGTTCGGGGACGAGCCAGGAACCCCGGAAGGCCCTCGGCGAGGCGCAGCAGCTGGAAGGCATCCCGAGGTTGGGAAACCGCTGAGAACCGACGAAAAAATCAAGCAGTGGCGAAGCGTCCCGGCTCGCCTATAGCCCCACCAAAAAATGTTCTGAGAACCTTTTCTGGTTTCCACGAAATGTTCTTAGAACATTTATTGAATCGCTTCGCTCATTCCGCCGGCCCATTTCGGATGACTGAGCCTCTTGGGGCCGCTGGGGGGCCTCTTCAGCGTCGCTTGGGGGCCTCCTGAGAGCCTCTTGGGGGCTTTTGGGGCCTCTCAGGGGCCTCTTGAGGCCTCCTGGGGGCTTCTTAAGGCCGGGGGCTCGAAGTTTTGTTTTGTGTTCCCCCTTTGGAGCATCGCTTGGGGCCCTCTTGGGCCCCTCTTGGGCCGTCTTGGATGGCTCTGGGGCCGTCTTGGAGCCCTCTTGGGCCATCTTGGGGCCTTCTTGGGAGCTTCTTAGGCCCTCTTGGGGCGATCTTGGGGGCCTCTTGGGCCGTCTTGGGGCGTCGGGAAGCCGAAAAGATGGACACGCCAAACTCTGCCCAAAACCTAAGGAAAAGTAATGAATGTTGCCTCTTGGGGCCCTCTTGGGAGTGCTCTTGGAGGCCTCTTGGGGCGTCTGGGGGCCATATTGGGCGTCTTGGAACGATCGTGTGGCATCTCGGAGCACTCTTGAACCATCTTGGAGGGCTCTTGGCGGCCTCGTGGCCCTTCTTGGGGCTCTCTGGAGGGCCACGGGGGCGGCGCCCAGGAGGAAAACCATCTCTGACCCGAGTCTGCCGGGGATCGCCAGGGGTACTTTTCGTCCGGGGACCCCCAGGGGCCGCTGGGCGCGCGCGAAGTAGAAGTATTATTCAGCAGTTACCGGAGATCTTAGCACGCCTCTGGCCCGTTGGGCCGGCGAATTGTGGAGAGTGTCTTGTTTTCACACATGGGGTTTATGTTCTAAGAACATTGCTTTCGTTCTTAGAGCATTTTGGGGTTCTAAGAATATTTCGTGGTTGAACTATAGGAATGCCGGGACGGTCGGTCCCTGCTCAAGAAAATGTAGGAAAGCATTGAACCGGGAACCGAGCTGACGATTCGCACCCATATTACACTGGGTTTCTCTGAGTGGACTTCCAGGGGGAGCGGTGGGTGTGTGTTGTAGGATGGGGGTCCCCGCTCCCATACTCGCACTTATACCCATACCTCTGGGTTCGACAACTCGCACCCATATTTATAGCGCCTTCATCGCCTTGCGCTCCTCCAGTCCATCTCCCTGTAGATTTGAGTGTGTTTTGATTTCCGTCACCAGATGCTGCCCCTTAGGCCTGAGGCCTCCTCCTCCTCCTTCCTCTCTCACTTCGGCGTCTGATTCTGTCGGGCGCGAGCGGACGGACTCTGGAGCGGAGCTCACCTTCAAGGTCGATGTATTCCGTTCGGGGAGCTTGGGAACCGCCCCGAGTGTTCTTCGTGGCGTCGCTCCCTTCCTCCCCCAACAGACAGCAAACGCCGCCCCTCCAGGACTTCCAGGAGAGCCTCGGCTCCGTGCTCTGCTCCGCCCGCTGCGCCTTCGGCGACCTGCAGAGCGTCCCCCAGGCGCTGGAGCGGCTCCTCGGCCTCCCGCGCCCCGCGGCCCCCCTCCGCCCGCGCTTCGTGCCGCACCAGCGCGGCACGAGCAAGCCCTGCGGCCACGTGCAGGAGATCGGCCCAGACCTCCGGCGCCTCCAGAGCATAACGCAAGGTGGAGGCCCTCCGGCGTGTTCGGCGGCCCTCCGGGAGCCCTCGCCTGGCCCCTGGGACCGTTCCGCAGCGACTCGCGATGAAAAACCGGCCTTGGGGGCAGGGAAGGGATCGGGACCTCTGGGGACCCCGTAATTAACCCCAGGAAGCATTTAAGAACCCCCCCCCCCCTTCCGGCAAATCGATAACCCTTCCGCACCCTGGAAGCGTTACCTGGCACCAGGAGCCCTCCTCCTCCTCCTCCTCCTCATCCTCCTTTTCCTCCTCCTCCTCTCCTCCACCCACGAACTTCCTCCTGCCCCCTCCTCCTCCTCCTCCTCCTCCTCCTCCTCCTCCTCCTCCTCCAGCAGCAAGCGACATCCTGAGTCCTTCATGAGAGTCACGCAGATTTGAATTTCGAATTTCGATTGTAGCCCAAGGGCCAGGCCTCCGCGAATTTGTTGTGTGTCCGGGTGCTAAACCTATCGTGCGGTTATTTCGGCCCGTCGGAATATCGAATAAAAATGCGGTGCTAAGATATCGCCGGGGGGGTTCTTAAATGCTTCCTGGGGTTATGTGGAGCAGATGAGGGCATCGCGCGCCGAAGGGGGGAAGCGAGAGGGAGGAGGCCGTCTCGGAAGGCGGCGCGGCTTCTCAGAAGGCCTCGCGCTCTCTGCGAGGTCGCCTAGGCCTTCGCCGAAGACAGAGGCGGCTTCTCAGAAGGCGGGGGGGGGGGCTGTGAGAAGCCGTCCTTGTCCTCGGAGCGGCACGGGCAAGCCCTTCGGCAACGTGCAGGGATCTCGAGGAGAAGGGCACGGCAGCAGAACCTCTCGGCCTCCCGTGAGCAGGGCCCCGCGCCGGCGGAAGGCTCTCCCCGCGCCCCCGCGCGCTCCCTCCTGGCCTCGCAGCGCGAGAGTGCCCCCGCGCGCTGGCCCCCTCTGCGCGGCCGCTCCCTCGCTCCTCCTTCCTCCCCTCTGGCATTGCCGCCCCCGCCGCCTCTCTTGGCTTTCCTCTTACAGAACAGGAGGCCTAGGCGGGGAGCGCGGCAAGACGACGAGAGCTCGCGAACCCTTCGCCATGCGTGCGTCCCACCACCACCTCTCCTCTGGCACGCGGGCCCGTTCGCGACGCCGCGTCCCGGCCTCTCCTCCGGCGCGCGAGCGGGCTGCCCCGGCTCCGCGCCGCGGCGGAAACAGCGGGGGGTGGGCAGGCACGCGGGCCCGTTCGCGACGCCACGTCCCGGCCTCGCTCTAGCGCGCGAGCGGGCTGCCCCGGCCCCGCGCCGCGGCGGAAACAGCGGGGGGTGGGCAGCGCCCCCTGCCGCAAACAGCGCCATCCAGCGGACAGCCGCCCTGCGGACCCCGGCCCCGCCGGCACGGGCCTGCAAGGCTCGGGGGCGGCAAAGAGAGGGGTGATGACTGGGGGGGGGGATATCATGGCGTGGGCCATGGTATTTCTCCAGATTTCAGATCGCCCCTGCTTATTTCATTACGTCCCTGGCCCCCCCGCTGGGCCGCGCACGTGCCGCCGGTCATGAGTTGCACCCCCCCTCTTGGACACCCCCCTCTTGGCCGCTCCCGAAAGGCTGCGGCCGCCAGAGCCCCCCCGAGGACCGAAGGGCCCGCCCGGGCATGGGGGTTCAATCGACTTCAAGCGATGAGATCAGCACTGCATGGTGATAACAATAGGGGGCCACATGCGAACCCGACCCCTAACCCCCCACGCTTTCTGAGGGGGAGGGTGGGGCTCACTTCGCTCGGGAGCTCACGAGCGAAGTGAACCCCACCCTCCCCCTCAGAAATCGTGGGGGGTAGGGGGTAGGGTTCGCATGTGGCCCCCCAAACAATCACTGAATTGTGATCGCAACTGTGATGAACAAACTCGAGTGTGGTAAACAGCCTGGCTCAAGTGTGATTTCTAACAACGGGGTTGTTTTTTCCACATCTGAGATGAGCATCGCTGCGACTGCAGCTCGTGATTTTACATAATGTGTTTGAGTTGCTGCAGGTGTGCAGGTATGCATGATAACAAACAATGAGCAAACAACGCCAGGAGCATGAATTGGTTCGGAGGTCCGCGCTGCTTCCCCGGGTCGGCGCCGGAGGCGCTGCCATAGGGGGCGCCGGCGCGGGATCCAGGAAATCTGCGGGGAGCTCCGAGTTGTTGCCATTCTTTTCAGGGGTGAGCGAGGGGGGGAAGTGAGAAGGAGAAGGCCTTCTCAGTAGGCGGCGGGGCTTCGCAGAAGCCCTCAGGCCTTCTGAGAAGTTTTGGTGTTTTCGGGGAAGGTTGAGACAACTTCTCAGAGGGCCGGGGGACCTCCGAGCCTTCTGAGACGGCCCCCCCTCTCATTCTCCTCTGGGGCTCGCCGCCGATCCTTGTCTCTCGAGGAGATGCTCATGCCGCAGGGCTTCCCCGCGGACAGGGCGGGCTTCGTGCGGAGCGGCCTCGGCGAGCCCACCGCGAACGGGTCGAGCGCGGGCGGGCTCCTGGACGTCATCGAGCGCATCTACAGAGAGGACTGCGACTTCGAGGCGACGCTGCTGCTGCACCCTGCGCCGTGTGCAGAGGGGTGCTCGGAGGAGAGAAAGGTGCCCCATACCATTATTCTTCCTTCGTTTTCGCCCTCTTGGGCCTCCTCGGAGGCCCTCGTCGCCACCGCTGGATTCGCCCCTGGGCGAGGTCCAGGGAGTGCTCAGCGGTGTCGGCACTTTTTGTTCGGCCTCCCCAGGTTCAGGCGATCGCAAACATGGATCAAGGGTGCGTGGTTTAGCGACAGGTCCCGTTTCCAGGGGAAATCGCGGACTTCCGCCGCCGAACGAGGCGGCGCCGGCCGCATTTTGGGGAGGGCACCTCCCCCGATCCATGGATCAGGCGACCGCGCGCCACATCCACGGATCGCCAATCCAATCTTGCGCGCCCCCGACTGAGGAGGAGGGGGAGGGGGAGGAGGGAGGAGGAGGGGGGGGGGGGAGGAGGCGGAGGGCGGAGGAAGGGGAGGAGGAGGAGGTAGGAGGAGGAGGAGGAGGAGGGGAGGAGGAGGAGGAGGAGGAGGAGGAGGAGGAGGAGGCGGAGGAGGAGGAGGGGGGGGAGGCTCTTCTTGCCTGGCCCCCCCCCCGAGGCACGTGCCCGACCTCCGCCTCGGCCCCTCGGGGCTCCTGCAGGAGGCCTGCGTGCCTCGGGCGGCGGGCGGCAGCGGGGCGGCCCCGCTCCACCGTTACGCCGTCGCCTGGGACCTGAGCTACCACAGCGGCGACGAGCTGCGGGGGGAAGAGGAGGATCGGGCAGCCCTGCTCGGGGCCCCCCCCACCCTACTCTAGATTTCGTAATAAAAGGAAGGAGGTCTGGACCCTCCAAGACAAGCCATTTCAGACCTCCCCCGTGGGAGAACCCTCCAAAACATTGTCCCCAGACCCCCCCAGGCCCTCCAAGATAGCCTGGAAGAGACCCCCCCCGAAATGAGACCCCCCTCCCTTTATTACGAAATCTGGAGTACAAATTCCCTACTGGATCCGACCCTGTTCTAGCTGCCAGGTCTGACCGCCGCACCCTCCCAGCAACTCTGTTTCTGGGCCCCCCGACTCTGCAATTTTTGTTACCGGATCCGATCCTGTTCTAGCCACCAGGTCCAATTGCGCACCCTCCTAGCAGCTGTCTCTGGGTCCCCCCGTCCTACAATCTTCCGACCAGATGCGACCCTGTTCCAGCCACCAGGTTTGACCTCCGAGGCGCATGCACACTCGGCGGCGAGCGAGGGGGGAATACGCGAGGGGGGGCTGGCCCTCTCAGAGGGTTCGGAAGCGCCCCCCGGCCTTCGGAGAAGTTTTCTGGGCCTGCCCGGGAGAGAAGGAGGCGTGCTCAGGAGGAGCGAGGGCTTCTGAGAAGGCCCGCCGCCTGCTGAGAAGGCCTTCCCCTTCTCACTTCCCCCCCCTCGCTCGCCGCCGACACATGCACCTGTCCTGGCCGAGCCCATGCGGAGCCCAGGGTCAGTGCACAGGCCTCCCAGCCTGAGCCAGGGGGGCGTGTGCACCGACCCGGGGCCCAGGATGCCTCCCTGGCCAGGTTCGGTGCGTGTGCCTCTCTCTCTCTCTCTCTCCCTCGAAGGAGGTCGAGAGCAACCTGACCCGAGCCGGCTTCAGCCGCTGGGGCGAGGCGATGATGCTGTCGTCCCCGAGGCTCAACACGGACACCTGGTACTGGAGGCGGAGCCTCCGCCAGCGCATCTTCGTGCAGCGGGACCCCCGCGTGACCACCGCCTCCGGCGCCGAGGTGTGCCGCGGGTGAGGCCGCCGCGCCCCGGGCATCGGGGGCGCCCGGATGCGGAGGTGTCGCTCGGCGATCATGGGCCGCTCCTGGCGAAAAGCGCGATCTGGGGGCACGTCGCCTTCCAAAGGTTTTTTTTTTGTATCCCCCCCCCCCAATGCTGAGAATCCCCTGACATCTTCGCGCAGTGAACAGCCGTGAACAACATCACCACGAGGGGTTTTGTGACCGTGTTCGGCCTCCTGGGCCTCCTGGGGCCATTACGAGCCCCCGTGGCCGTCAAGAACGACAGGGGACGGAGATTCGGTCCCGAAGAAGGGGGCGGGACCTCTGGGGAGCCTTGTCGCGAAGAAGCACGACGACGGACGTCTGGGAGTGCAATCCGGACGCACTGCGTCATGCCCATTCTGGTCACAGCTCGGGGCGATCCCAGAAGAGGGAGGGGCTTTCGGGCGAGCGAGGGCGCTGGTTCCAGAGGCACGGGCGCGCGGGTCGCACAGGGCCCGAGCCCGCCGAGAGGGCGCGGTGCTTCTTCGAGGGGCGGGTGCTGCCAGAGATGCCCTTGGCCCAAGCGGCCCTCAGGATTTCTGGGGAGGCCCAGATGGCCTCTGGAGCACCCCTCGCGAGGACGAGGGGGCCACGGGGGCCCCAAGCTGGCGCGCAAAGCTGGGGACACCTCGGGCCAGGACCACCTCTATGGTAGGTTCGCGTCGTGTCGACCAGCGGCGACCCCGCCGCCGGCGTTCGACGTTGAACGCTGCTGGCGTCCCAGAATCAGTAGAAGTTGACCCATCTGAAGTTTCGGAAACGACCAAGCTGTCAAGGCTGAACGATCCCCGCGGTGTCAGAAACAAGCGCCGAAGTCGGCACGACACGAACCTGCCCTAGCAACGCTCGAGAGAGTGCCCCGGTGTCCTATAGGATAAGAGGCTTCTTCTCGATGCCTTTTGGTAACGTGCCGCCGAAGCTGCTTCAGCTCAGGCGCCTAAGGGCCGTGGGCCGCTACAGGCGGACCTGGGCCAGAAGAACATCCCTCAAGAACATGAGACCTTCCGCGGGCCAAGCCTTCACAGAGCATCCAAGGGCACCCTCCCCAGGATGCACAAGACCACCCAACAGACACGAAACACACATGAGGGTACCTCCCCATAACCGACCTCGATCTTATATACCTCGGTCGGACTGTACCAGCGCGTCCTTGCTGTGGGTGTGGACCTGTCCAGGTAAGGGCCTCGTTTTGGAGGCGGCGGGGGGTCTGAGGTGAGCTCTGGGGCAGGCTCTGGGTTCGAGAAGGCTGGGGTTCGAGAAGGTTCGAGGCTCTGGGTTCGAGCAGGTTCGAGGCTCTGGGTTCGAGGCTCGAGGCTGGAGGCTCTGGTCGGCGGGGGGGCGAGGTTCGAGGCGTCTGGGTTCGAGAAGGTGCTTTTGGCTTCCTGTCGGCCTCGAGGGGCCGCTCTCGGGCCCCGGAGGCCGCGGCACTCACTTCCTGGCCCTCCTCCTCCTCCTCCTCCTCCTCCTCCTCCTCCTCCTCCCCCTCCTCCTCCTCGGGAGGGTCCCCCTCCTCCCTCCTCCTCCTCCTCCTCCTCCTCCTCCTCCTCCCTCCCTCCTCCTCCCCCTCCTCCTCCTCCTCCTCCTCCTCCTCCTCTCCTCTCCTCCTCCTCCTCCTCCTCCTCCTCTCCTCCTCCTCCTCCTCCTCCTCCTCCTCCTCCTCCTCCTCCTATCCAGGATTTGGCTTCGTCCCCCCGTCCTGCCCGATTCCCTCGGGCCCCAACTGCAGTTCAGGCCCCCCGGCCGCCGCCGAGCGCGGGCAGGTCCAGAGAATTAGCCTCGTTGTCCAGAGAGCGGTGGGGTCGACCGCTGCCGCCCACGATCCGATCCGGTGCGATTCGATTCGCCGGCTGGGGCCGCGGTCCGGATTCGGTTCGATTTCAGCGGCATCGAGACGATCGATTCGAGACGATCCGCTGGCTACCCAATCCCCAATCCGTCTCCTACCCGACCTGAGTTCGCGATCCGACCCAGCTCAGGTCTGCTTCGCCCTTCGGGCGAAGGGGTCAACCGCTCATTCTCGGCGGGCCCTTCCCAGCGGGACTGGCCCGCGGAGGTGGGGCAAGCCAGGGGCCTTTTTGTTTCGCCAGCGGGAGCCTCTGTCTGCTTCGCATTCTCTTGTCTACTCGTTCCGTCTCGTGTTTCTGAATCATCGTTCTCCTCCTCCTCCTCCTCCTCCTCCTTCTCCCCCCACCGCTTCTTCTCCCTCCTCATTACATCTCCCTTCCTTCTTCTCTCCTCCTCCTCCTCCTCCTCCTCTTCCTCCTCCTCCTCCTCCTCCTCACCCGCCCATTTCTCCTCATCCCTCCTCCTTCCCACGTCTCCTCCTCGCCAGCCGTAGATTATACGTAAAGGAGTGTGGCCCGTGTGTGGTTTCCTACGGGTCCCAGGCCACCCAGGAATTCCGAGGACGTGATTCTGGCTAGGTAGAGTCTTCTTTTTCGGACCCAGGGGTGGGGAGGTGGCGTGCTCTGCAGACTTTCAGCCATTGAACGTGGAACCGTGGCAGGTGATACCTTGGAGCAGAGAAACCGCAATGAACTGATCATGGAACCGAGGAGCCGAGGACTGGTTGCAGGATGCAGAAGCCGAAGCCTCAGCCTCGCCGCCTCGAGGCTCGCAGGAGGGCTGGCGGCTTCACCCCACAGTGCCGTTTTTAATACATGCCCCGCGTGCGCATCATGTATGAAAAATGCAGGGGTTCAGTATCAAAAACAACGATGAGTTCATGCATACATTCATTCATACATTGATCATGCATGAAAATCCAATATTTTAAGAATCCTATGTGTCAGAAGCTGCCCTGCACCCCACGTGGCCCCGGGAGGCCACCGGGATTCCGGGGCGCGCTGCGAAGCCCACGCAAGATCGAGGGGGCAGCGCGCCCTACGATTTCTGCGTTTGCTCGGCCCCACCCCACCACACCCGCCCCGAAGATTAAGTCGGGCCTGTCCCCCTACAGGGGGATTTTCGACGAAAAAAATCACCAACAATAATCAAAAAAAATCATCTTTAAAAAATAGCCTGGGGATTATTTTTGGGGTATTTTTGAACCTTTTTGGTGCATGTTTGGGGTATTCTTAATTTTTTTTATGGAAAATCCCCATGTAGGGGGACACGCCCGACATAACCCGAAGATGAACAAACAAGCTGACAAGATTCCGAGTCTCGAGCGCCTGGTCCTGGTCAACGTCGAGGTGCACAATAGACAATAGTGAGACAACGGTGTGTAGGTTCGGACGTTCCCTTCGTCACGTGCGCAGCCACGGGTTTTGATCATTGCCTGCCGCTGGCGGCACTGCCGCTCACTGCCGCCCCCCCCGCCCGCCCACCCCGGCGACGTTCTCCTGACGCTCTTTGACTCTGGCAAAGGCGCGTCCAGGCAGTGGGCTGGACGCAGGGCGACGGCATCCTCGCGCCGGCAAGTCTTCGGCTGGGGGTCCGGGAGGTTTCCAGGTTCTCTGGAGGTCTGCGGCAGTCTCTTGACAGTTCTTGAGGCTCGAGGTGTTCCTTGTGTGTTCAAGGGGGGATCGGGGGAGGAGGAGAAGTATATGGACGGGCAAGACGGACACGGAGGGACATGCGGAGTTCTTAGGTTGTGCCTCGCATGCTTTGCGGTGATTTTGGAGGGTCGAAGGGGTCTTTTTTCCCCTCCCCCCTCCTCTTCCTCTTCCCTCCTTCCTGCTCTCTCTCTCTCTCGCTCCTCTTCCTTCTCCCCCTCGGCCTCCTGCCCTTCCTCCTCTCACTCCACCTGCGAGCCAGGCTGGGTTTAGGCCTGAGCGGTGTCGGTTGCCGTTTTGCGGAGACCAGAGGTCGCACAATCGGGACTTCATAGATACCGTGGCAGTTCGGGTATTCGCAGAAGGGAGTGTTTTAGAAGTCATCATGATTTAAATGAGGCACAGCTTTTCAACAATGCGTTAGGATCCGATCTAGTCATATGTGTGTCCATGTGCATACTCGCTCCCGTGCAATCTACGTGAACGTGATTATGCCCCCACCCACTTCTTGCTTTAGACAGTTGTTATGATTGATTTCGCGTTGGTTAGAGTCGGACCGAGGTATAAGATCGACGTCGGTTCGGGGAGGATGCTCTCGTGTTTTCCGTGGTTGTTGGATACTTTTGTGCATCCTGGGGAGGGTACCCCAGGATAGTATGTTTGTTTTGGCCGTCAGAGGGTCTCATGCAATTGAGGGATGTTCTTCTGGCTTGGTCCGATAATAAGCAATACTGGCTTGTTGTTTTCCACTCGGGCCAGCATGCGCGAGAGATAACCAGAACTCCTTTGGGTCCCCAAGAGGTCCGATCAGGGGGGAGGCCGCGCACAGTCGGGCCGCTGAAGGAGCCCTTCTCGTTGGGGAGGGGCTCCGTGCCCCTTCATGGTTTTACCGTCGTTCTCTCAGGCTCTCCTTAGGTTTTCAGTGGGGGCTCGAAGGCTGGCCCATCGGAAAAAAGGGCCCCGCTCCCTACGTATAGGGACCCTCCTGGCAGCGCTGCGACTGCGCCCTCACCGCCCCGTTTCGCAGCGCAGCGCCCCTGGGCGGGCTGCCCCGACCGGGGGACGCGCCGCAGACCGAGCCGCGGAGCAGCGCGGGAGGGGGCCGCCGCTGAGCCGAGCAGCCCGACGGGAGAGCCCCACGGTGGGGGCCGCCCACCAAACCACCCCAACCCAACCCGAAGGCCCCAATTTGCCCTCCATTTCCGGTTGGGGGGGATCGGGGAACGTTGAGAAAACACACATGGAGCCCGTACCCCCCCCCAACCCGAAATTCGGGTCTTCGGGTTGGGTTGGGGTGGTTTGGTAGGTAGTCAGGTGGGGGCCGCCGGCCGGCCGGGGGACGAGCGCCTCTGGAGCCCTCTCGGCCTGCACGGCCCCCGGGCTTCTCTCGGGCGTGCCTCTTGGGCGCTCCGCCGTGGGGGGTCTCGATGGCTGGCGCATGGGAGGGACGGGGGCCTCGTGCCTCGTGTGCAGGGGGCCCTCTGAGGGCAGCGCTTCGACCGGCTCCTCGCCATCCCGTCCAGGAGCGTCGCGTGGGGGCTGCCGGCCGACC